CCCCAAAACCCCAAAACCCCAAAACCCCAGAATTACAAATTAGAGTTTAAACGAGCAAGTTTAAAAATTAATTAAAATTATATTTGATTATTTTGAGGTATAATATGAGTCAGAGATACACTCAAAAGATTGAAAATTAATATGCTACAAGAAGCAATGGTTAAAATGTTACCTAGATAGGCAAGAAAAGAAATTTCGCTGAGTTTAGGGAAAGCTAAGAAGTTCCCTATCACACAGATAAGGAAATAAGGAAATAGCCAAAGACTAGGAAATAGAATGATGATTCACAAACAAGAAAGTCTGCAACTGATCCCAAATGGGCGGGAAAGTAAAAATCCTAAAGCGGTAACAACAAAGACTTGATAGTAGAAAACAAAAGTAAGGGTTATGTTACTGAGGCTTACTCTTAGATGACAGTCACTAGAAATAGGACCACTAGTAGAAGGAAATTAGATAATCTGTTAGAATTGAAGGAAATAAATTCTGAGGTTGAGAATTTCTCTTCAGATGATTAATACCACAAAAAAAGAGTAAAGAAAGAAGATAAATCACAAAAATCAGTTAGAGGAGGTGCTAAGTCTTACTTGGGATCAGACCCAGAAACTGAACATCATTATGGAACTAGAAAGAAGCTAGCCAATGTTAAAAAAGAAGATATTACGAATTAGCAATTTGGTGACAGTGTTAGAACGGTCATTGAAGATTACCTTGATAGCAAAGTGTCCTAGCATTAAACAGGCAATAAAAAGTATGCTGCTTATACTGTTTTAGGAGATCATTTAGACATTATTGCAGATTAATCAACTGACAGGATAGTTACTTATACGTTTTAAAGTGTACAATTTGAAAAGAAATAATCAGCAAAAAAATTATCTATCACGAACTGTAGTGGGTTAAGAATGAGAGATTCAGATGAAGATTTTCTCCATGGATTTAAAGAAGTATTTATTAAGAGAATTTGTGCAAGATATAAGTTGGGGTCAGTAAAAGCCTTTGTCTTTGAGTACTATCCAATTATATCTTTTGGTGACATCAAGAAAAGTTCAGTTTAAAAAGCAATTAAGTAAGTCTTATTAATCTTAATTTCATTAAACTAGAGCATAATTACCGAAAGTGAATGACAGTGAAAAGTTTGTAATTCAAAACTACCCAGGAAAAGATGAGAATTGCGATTATTTTACTCTTGAAATTCAGGAACTTGCAAAAAGATGGGAAGATCCTTATATCTATCAACTCAAATTTGCTCCTAATCTAGCCTAGAAGAATACACTTAAGAATTTACAACCTCATCATGTGTATCTAGAATTTATAAAGTTTGTAGTGGACTTTAAAAATCCCTATGATCTAAAGCAGTTAAAGATACATGAGGAGAATGAAAATTAGATATATGAAATAAGTAATTACAATCCTAATGCAAAATAAAAAGCAGCAGATATAATAAAGAAAGGGTATTAAACTGAGAAAGAATCATCATCAAGAGCAAGATCACTACCAGTAAGAGGAAAAAATAGATAAACCATTTAGGAGACTTCTGAAGATGACTCTGAAAGCGAAGAGGCTCTGAATATTGCAAAAAAGAATAAGAAACTAAACCAAAAGAAGGCTGATTAGGATACTCCAATGAAATTAGAAAATTAAGTTAAACAAGAACCAAAGGAATAAGAAAAGTCAAAAATGACAAAAAGAGGCGATTAATCTTAGGGCAAGCAAGAGAATTCAGAATCATACAACTTTGATTAAGGGATAAAATAAAAGGCCGAAGAAGATTCAAAAAAGCTTGCTTAATAAAAAGCTAAACTAAGCCAGCCTGTAAAAGCTTCTCAAGATACGAAATAGTCTCAATAGAGTGTGATTAAATCAAGTTAAAACACGAAGCAGAGTGCAATTGAATAACCTAGTAGTTAGATTGGAAGAAGAGGTACAAGAAGCGCTGTTCAAAGCAGAAGAAAGAAAAGTTCAAGCATTGACAGCTCATCATCAGGCAGCAGCTTCGATAATAAAAATAAGAAAGATAAAAAAGCAGCCCTCATAAAAATAGAACAAGAGGATGTTGAAATGAAAGAAGTCAAAGCATTACCAATCAAAATATTAAAATTAGAGTCTGAGGATGAAATACCAAGTAAGAGAGTAGGGAAAAGAACAAGAAGAAAGCAAGAATTAGATTCTGAATCTGATTAGTCTTTAACAGCAAAGCCAAAAAGAAGAGCACCAAGCATCGTGATGAGCAGGACTGCAAGAAAGAAAAAGTACAGCGACATTGAAGAATAAGCTGAGAATGAAGATGTATTATCTGGCCAATAATCAGATGAAGAGCGGTTAGGCTTTGAAGGCAATTAGTTAAAAGTCATTAGACCAAGTATTTATCAAAATGATTATGACAAAGCTTGTGAAAAACTCTAGCTCAATGCGATCCCTGATGAACTACCTTGCAGAGAAGTAGAAAGAAAAGTGATTGAGGACTATCTTCTTACAGGATTATAAAATAAGGGTTCAAGTACTTCTTTGTATATTTCAGGTATGCCAGGTACAGGTAAAACAGCAACAACACTAGAGATTATCAGAAAACTCAAGCAGATTAAAAAGTTAGATTTCAAGTTCCTACACATCAATGCCATGTCACTGACGAATCCCAATCTAGTTTATACAGTAATTCATGAGCATATCACTGGAAGAAGAGTTAATCCTACAAGTGCAGCGACATTCCTAGATGATTTCTTTAAAAAGAAGGACAAAACCAAGGTTCTAACCACTTACTTGAATTAAAGTGCAAGGGGAATGAGATACTCGAAGGCAAAGGGTAAATCTACTAAGTAGTTCACATCTGACATTAAGAAAGATGCTGAAAGAATGAGAATCATACTTATTGACGAGCTGGATGCTTTGGTTACGAAAAAGTAGACATTACTTTATAATTTGTTCGATTGGCCTTGCCATCAGAATTCAAGACTTTTAGTTATATCAATTGCAAACACCATGGATTTACCAGAAAGAATGCAACCAAAGATTAAGAGTAGAATAGGTACAAACAGATTAACGTACGAGCCCTACAATAAAAACTAGATCAAATAAATTCTTGAATCAAGATTGGTAGGTATACCTATCTTCGATCAGAAATCAATCACACTCGTCTCAGCAAAGGTTTCAACATACAGTGGAGACATTAGAAGGAGTTTACAAGTGACAAAGAGAGCAGTCGAATTATGCAGAGATAAATACCTTAAGAAATGCGAAGAGGAAAAGTTAAAAGGATCGAATGTAAAAGTTCAACCCATCTAAGTATGCTATTAAGATGTGATAGATGCATTCTCAGAACTTTACAATTCAAAGACGTGCCAAGTATTAGTCTCACTTAGAAAATTTGAAGTGCTTGTGATATTAGGTCTTTACCTAGAACTGATTACATTTAAAAGTGAAAAGGTCCTCATTGATAAGGTCCAAGATCGTTGTGAATCCATGATATCGTAGCTTGGCTGGAAAGCCCCTAATTTCTAGACAAATACCTATAGAGAGATAGTGAAGAGGTTAAGTAGTTTCGGCCTAATATCTCTTAATGTTGAGCAGAATAAAATCACTGATAATGTGCATCTTTAACTATTCGTTTACTATGATGAGATAAAGCAAGCCCTAGAGAATAATGAAGTATTCCAGTTTTTCGAAAATACTTTCTCTATTCATTAGAACGGTACTCAATAATAATAGGAGTAGTGAAAATTTCTTGATTCTTTAATATTCAGGTAAGCTCAATAAAAGATTGTTTGATTTATTCTTGATTTTATAAATATATTTACTGAAATCTATTCTTTATTACAAAAAATCTTCTTTCCCGGGGTTTTGGGGTTTTGGGG